AATAGACTTAAAAGGTGCCCAATGAAGAATACAAAGGGGGAGGTTTCTCCCGTGAGCCCTCAGGGCTGGGTGGGGGGTAGGCCCCCCCCCTCCCCCCCGGGTAACCGAGACAGTATTTTGCTTCTCTCATATTGTTGGAAGGCCTTGTCCTGGATGGTCAGCAAGGAAGTCAGGTAGATGTGGAAACGGTTGTGGGAAGCCAGCAGGCTGTTTTACTTGGGTTGGGGGGTGGTGTTTGTTAGACTTGTTCGGTTCTCGTGAAAGGATTAGCACCTGATGGTTTTGCTGAGGTCTCCCTCAAGTTCCCTAAAGCTTTCGTCTCTTGTTCCCCAAAGAAATTCCTGAATGGCACATTTTCCTTTTTTTCTTTTTCTTTCATTATGACATGTTTATTCGCATGAAGAAGCATGAGTTATTTTTCAGTCTCCTTTTCCTTTTTAGAACCACCACCACCTAAAATCCCCAAAATTGAGACCACTCACCCTCCATTGCCTCCGGCCCACCCACCTCCAGGTAAGTGTCTCCTAAAAGCAGCGTGGGAGGGCCAGCTTTTCTCTCTGCTTTTTCAAAGGGCAGACTTGGGAAGGCCCGGGCCACATCTGTAGAAGGGAGACCTGGTAGCCAAAATTTTAAAAGAAGATAATGCCCAAGGATCTTTCAGAAAATGGTGTGTGTCTTTCACAAACCAGATCTTTTGAGGGTGTTGTAAATTCCAAGTATATCTGGATATTCTCTGGCCTCTCATGTGCATAAAGGCCAAACTGTGCAGGATAAGTAAGTGTAGAATCAGTTTTAGGAAAACAAAGCCCTGACGAAGCCCTGACAGTTTATGAACCTTGACCCGGCAGGACTGGTGTAGATCTTAGGCCCCAGTCTCTCACACGTCTGCTTTCTACAGTGGCAGGACATCGTCTGGGTACATTTGGAAGAGTAAGCAGCTGCTCAGAGTCGAGTGGAGAATAAAGCATGACGAGTTCTCGACAGGCCCACAGGGAACTGGGAAGCTTCCTTGGTGCCATGTAAACCCAGAGGAGAAGCCTCATAAGGGATATAGCGTTCTCTCCCTGGGGCAGCGTTCTGGAAGATGGAGCAGGAAGCTGGGGTGGGCAGAAGTTGTGTGTGTTCTGAGGGGTGCTGGGCCGGCCCGCCCCACCCTACGGCTCACGTTTGGGCGCCCAGCGCCGAGTGCCTGGGGCAGAGGTACCACGCATTATATTTCTTTCTGCTTATGGTCAGTCATAGCACTTTAGAAGCTTTGGGAAAATAGGGGCATCATTTTCTGCTTTGGGACAAATTCTACAGTTCCCATTCCAGTATGAAGCCTGCTTAAAAAGGCACCTGCGGTAGGTCATTTCAGTATTTATGTAGTATCTCCCCCGCAAGCAAGTGCAGATCCCCAGCTCCTGTGCCCAGGGGTGTGGCTGAGAAGAGGTGTGGTGGCCTGGGGAGCCCAGGGCAGGGAGAGAGCTACACACTGTCTCCTTCTGCTTCTCTGTTGGTGTTCTGGGGGCAAGGGTGTTCTGCGCACGGTGTCAGGAGCCCCGCAGAATGCCCGGAGCTCCCACCACGGGCAGCAGGCAGGAAGGGTGAAGGTCCTGGCAGCAGGTGGTGGGAGCCGGCTGGGCTGCTAGAAGGACCGCGGTGGGAGGGAGCGTGGAGTCCGGCAGCCGCAGTTGCTGGAAGTGGAGCTGGACGCAGAGGGATCGGGGGGCCAGGCCACAGGAGCTCACTCCAGCGAGGTCCCGTCACTACTTCATGGGAGGCGGGTGGAAAAGAAGGCTCAGAGGAGGAGCAGGATCTGTGGTTTGGGGAACCACAGTCCCTAATGAAGCGCAGGAGGCAGGAAGAGGCACTTAGGTCACCAGGGGTGTCTCCGAGGGCAGCCGGTGGTGGTGGCAGGTGTCAGAGCGAGGATGAAGAGAGCAGCACAGATGCCTGGAGAGACCACTTGTTCCAGGCCGAGTTACAGGGGACAGGCGGATGCACGGGTGACTTGGGGAGGCAGCGTTGTAGGTGACAGGAAGTGATGTCTCACAGGTGGAAGAGCGTGTTAGCGGACCCAGGCGCCGTGAAGTGACACACACAGGAATTCAAGGTGGTTGGCCCTTTTGTCCACAGGCTTCAAGTTCATACTTTATGTTCTCTGGTCAGCTTTGGAACTAAAAGGCCCCTGGTCCTACCCTGGAGCCCAGACTTCTCTGTAGGCATGCCGGACCTCCTGCCTTGGGCGGGCCTGCTGGTTCGTTCAGGGTGGGCCCCAGGGACGCGGCTGTCGGGCGAAGATGTCCCAGCTCACCTGGCAAGAGCAGTGAGGCCCCCGCGGACGCCCACCCTGGGCACGTTGCACGTCCGTGTCGGCACAGTCAGGCCTGCTCAGAGCCCCAGGGAGCACACGAGGCCACATGCTGGGAGACCCGAAACCCCTTCGTGGCCCTTACTCTTTGGTGTTCTCTGGACCCAGAGATCTTGGCTCCTGTGATTTGCCCTTGACTTCTGGGCTGCCTTGGGAATTATCCTAAGAACACACTTCTCAGTGATTGTCCACCGCTGGTGGGGTGTCCCGGTGTCATTCTGCAGGTATCTGCCCACGAATGCAGGGGGGAATCACAGGTAGAAATGTTGCAGTGAGGCTCTGGACGAAGGCAGCGGGGGCTGCGCTGGGAAGCACCACGGAGGGCGGCGCTCCTGAGGACGCGCTGGGGGCTGAGGTCACTTCTCTTAGCGAACTCCAGGCGGAGTGGCTCCTTTGGCGGCTTCACCGGGCCTGTCAGACTCGCTCGTTACGGTTTTAAATGTTGCCTCACTCACCTGCCCGACTCGCAGGCTTTGCGCTCGCTGCCCGTGCTGCAGACTAAGGTGACCTGGCCCCGGCCCCACGGTCTCGAGGCAGAGGCAGGCGGGCAGAAGGGCCCACTCCCGTCTGTGCTAGCGGGAGGGGCTCCGGGCACTGCAGGCTCGGCCTAGGCCGGGGTCGTGAGGACCGGGGGAGGGAGACGCGGCCGTGCTGGGGGGCGCGGGTCCTCGTGGGGGCAGCGGGCACCGGCGAGAGCTTCGCTGTTCTCTGTGACCTTGGCCCTGGGGAAGAGCAGCAGCCCCGCCGGTGCTATGGGGGGGGGGGGGGGGACGTGAGAACTCCGGGGAGCTCCTGGCTTCCGGGGTGGCCTTCCCCACCCTGAGGTCGTCCGTGGACGTGTCCCTGCACAAGGAAGCCCTGGGAGCCACCCAGGGCCAGGCAGTGACTTGTCTCTCCTCTGCAGACCGGAAGCCTCCCCTCTCCGCCCCCTTAGGCGAGGCGGAGCCCCCAGGCCCCGTGGACACCAGTGACCTTCCCAAAGTCCAGATTCCTCCTCCGGCCCACCCGGCGCCCGTGCACCAGCCGCCACCGCTGCCACACCGGCCGCCGCCGCCGCCACCCTCCAGCTACATGACCGGGATGTCCACCACCAGCTCGTACATGTCCGGGGAGGGTTACCAGAGCCTGCAGTCCATGATGAAGACCGAGGGCCCCTCCTACGGTGCCCTGCCCCCAGCCTACGGCCCGCCGGCGCACCTGCCCTACCACCCACACGTCTACCCGCCCAACCCGCCCCCTCCGCCAGTGCCCCCTCCCCCAGCCTCCTTCCCCCCTCCTGCCATTCCTCCCCCCACTCCCGGCTACCCCCCTCCTCCCCCCACCTACAACCCCAACTTCCCACCCCCACCCCCACGCCTGCCCCCCACCCATGCAGTCCCTCCTCATCCTCCTCCAGGCCTGGGCCTGCCGCCGGCCAGCTACCCACCTCCGGCCGTCCCCCCAGGAGGACAGCCACCCGTGCCCCCACCCATCCCCCCACCTGGCATGCCTCCAGTTGGGGGGCTGGGGCGGGCAGCCTGGATGAGATAACGTGATGCCTTTTTTTCCCTGTTTTTTTTAACAAGTTTTTCTAATCAACTTGAAGAGTAGTTTAAATGGGTAAGCGGCAGGGTACCTTCTATAATGCTAGACAGTCGCAGTATGGGAAGAAACGGCCCGGACCCGAGTTGAAGTTGGGGTGGTCCTCCAATCTGGAGAATGGGGCCAGGGGCTTTCAGTATAAGCCTGCGCAGCGCCAGTTTCGATCCGACCGCGCGCTTGGTCTCAGCTGGTGGCGTCGGGGGGTCCTGCACTGGGTTATTTGTACTCGTGAAAACGTTAACCAGCCATATTGGCTCAAGAAATAGCTTCAGTAAGGAGTGAATTTCCTTCTAGAAATCAGTGCCTATTTTTCCTGGAAAATCCATTTTAAATAGTCCAGTTCCATCTGAAGTCAAGCTGTTGTCATCGCTTTCGTTCCGTGACGTTCCCTCCCAACACCCAGTAGGTCAGACGAACCACTTTTTTGATTTGGAGATATTTACATCCTTTGTATTAAACTTATTTTGAAGGGGTTGCCTTGTTGGATGGCTTTGTTCTTTTTCCTCCAGAGAGAAGGGGAGAAATGTACTTGGAAAGTAATGTATGTTTACATCAATTTGCAAATTCCTGTACATAGAAATATATTTTTTAAGTGTGAATGTAACAACATACTGTGAATTCCATCTTGGTTACAGATACGGCTCCTTCGGTCATTTATCCAAATAAAACCCGTTCTGAAACGACCCTTTTGTTTCTTCTGCACAAGGTGGGGCCCCAGGCCGTAAGCAGCCCCAGGATGTGAAGTCCAGAGGGACGCTGGCCTCGCAAGCCCCAGGCCTGACCCCACGTCCCCCAAGGCAGCGCCCTTTTGGGTCTGTCCTCGCGGGCCAGCCCCCCACACCCTGTGCCTGCATGGGCTCCCCTCGGAGGAACCCGGTGCGTTCCGAACCGGCGTGGAAGTGTCGGAGGCGCCTGCGCAGAACATGGGCTCCTAGGACCCACAAGGGAGCAGCCGTCTGTGGTCTCCAGCACCGAGCCGAACCCCCCACCTGAGGTGCTCCCAGGGGCCGTGGCCCTCTGCCCGGTGGACCCCCCCGAAACAAGCACTGCACACCCACCACGGAGGCTTGCCAAGAGCCTTTATTTATCTAGCGCAAAGTATACACGATCACAATCTTCTGTTCCTCCTTTTACTAAAATAGTTCAAATCAATGTTTTTACCACACTATCAAAAGTTCTATCTCTCTTTCTCTCCCCAAATCAAAGTGGTTCAGTGGAAGGTAGAAACGGGCACAGGGGTCCACAGCTCCCAGCTCCTCCTGGAGCCGGGCGAGGGGCTGGCCCCGGTTCCCACGGCAGTCACCCACCATGGAAAACAGCATGGCTGACGGCCCGGGGCCGGGAACCGAATGTTCCAGCCCAAGTCCAGAAAGCAGCACAAATACTCCCCCCTACAGTATGAAAAATATACACCTCTACCGCTCTGCAGTCATGCATTTAGCTTGTTTCTTAAAAAAAAAAAAAAAAAAAAATCAGTAGTATGTATTTTGTTTCCTCTCAAGTTTCCAAGAAAAAAAAAATGAAAGGTCACTTTTTTCTCTTTAAACACTGATGTGTAGCTAGTAACTTTTGGATAAAAATGTGCCACCCTAAAAAAATGTGCTCAGCAGACTCTGATCCCAGGATGGGCTTGGCCACCTGGCGTGAGGCTGGAAGGGTGACATCCATCACAGTGGGAACTGAAGCCCCAGTCCAGGTGTCACACGGGGCTTCAGGATCTAGAATCAGAGTATCTGAAAGGTAAAGGGACCTTTATGAAGGGGCACCAAGTTCAGCAACACCCCTCCCCCCACCGTGAGCTGCTACAGCTAAGGCTCCGGAGGGGAGGAGGGTCACCCGACGTCACCAGACACACGTCCGTGTTGCTGGCAGGGCTGGGACTCGTGCTCACCTGGCCCCTGGCTGCCCCTTTCGTGAGGCTCCTCTGACCCTTCCCAGCCTGTGGGCTCCCACTGCACCCACCCACCCCCTGCCCCGTGGGGTCAGGCAGGGGTGCTGCTGGCTCTTTTTTTTTTTTTTAACAGCTTATTACGTTAGATGACTGTCACAGGTACAGTTCTGTCCTTGAAAGCCATCCCCATGCACTTGGCTCAGGAACACGAGCAGCGGTGGGTCTGCGCCTGGTTCTGCTGCCTCCACGGGGTACAGGAGGGTCCAGGCAGAAACGCTCCACCTGACCCCTGAACGCCACCACAGCACGAGGGACAGGGTCCCTTCCTTCCGGAGCGGGGACGGTCCCGTCAAAGCTGTTCTTCCCTGGGCCAGTTTGCAGGTCTGCAGATACCAGGAGCCCTTACTTATTGCTTATTTTCAGTGGTGGCCAAGCCAACCTGATCCAGACATGACAGCTGGGCTCCCAGGTGTGGCTTCCACCCAAAATGGACCCATCCCCCGCCCCCCCGGGCTGCTCTGTGGTTCTTTGGACTCCCAAGATCCAGAGGGGGGCCTCTGCCCCCCAGCTCACTGCCCACTAGGGCAAGAATTGCCTGGTACCATGACCAAGGGTGTTCCCCAGCTTCAAATGCATACCCCTAGTGACAGGTAGCTCACCACCTGACCTGCTGGCAAGCTTCCTCCAGGAAGAGCCCAGAGCTCCCTGTAACACCCAGGGCAAGAGGAACATGCCTGTCGCTGTCACCAGCACCCACTTAGCACTCCCTGGGCACAACGAGGGCTGCGAGCCTTTCCCCTGAGTGTACGACCGACCCAAGGGTGCCGATGGCCGACAGATGGCGGCAAGGGCGCAGAGTTCCCGCTGGGGCTCTAGGGACAGGGTGGCCTCCCCCATCCCCTCGCCTGGCCCCCGTCCGTCATGCGGGCCTGGACGAGGCCTGCCTGCTGCAAAAGCCATCTTCTGGGCTCTTCAAGCGCTTGCGGCACGGAGCTGAGCACCACCGGACAGTGGGGGACGAGGGAGGGACCGAGTGGCCGTCAGGGCCAGGGCCAACAGCATTCACGGTGGCCCGCCCACCTCCCAGCATCCGGGAGCTCGTCTGTAATGTGCCCCCGATCACCCACCCTCTGGGCCTCACCTGCCCCACCATTTCAACGTTTCTCTATCACACTCTATAGTTTGTACATGGTCATTTACACTGAAGGTCTCGTTTGATCCCGAGCCCTGCGAGGAGGGCCTGAGGCCGTCCCTTCTCCAGTGGAGGACACTGAGGCTCAGAGAGGGGAGGTGACAGCACCTTTGAGGAGGCAGCAAGGAAGCGGAAGCCCACTCAGTCCCCGGCTCCATCCAGCCCCGCCAGCAGCGGCCTCTGGCTGGATGGACCCCCTGGGCGCGCGGGCCGTGACGGAGGCCCAGGCTGAACAAAGCCGGTGGCCTTGGGTGGTGAGCACGGCCCAGAGAACCTGAGACCTCGTTTTCCCACCAGGGGCCCAGAGAAGCGGAGTGACTTGCTGAAGGTCACACAGCCAATTAAAGCCAGAGCCAGATCAGGCTCCTTCCAGAGAGGGCAGAAGTCTCCTAAGGGCCAGTCCGTGCAGCTCTGTCCACAGCGACCCCGGCTAGGGCCGGGCTCTGGGGGCTACCAGAGGCCCAGCTCAGCCCGGTGCTGCCCACCTAGAGAGAGCGAGCGTGGGGCTCAGCCTCCTACCTCCCTGGCCCGTCATGGGAACCACAGAACTGGAGAGGCCTCGGGCACTGGGCAGGAGGGCCCCGAAAACCTAGGGCACGACCTGGCCCGGGGTGGGGGGACTCTGCAGCGAGTGTGTGTGTTTGGGGCTGGGGGCAAGAACCCTGAAACCAAGCAGCAGCTTGCAGCAGGGAGCTGGGCATGGGGGTGGGGGAGGGGGGTTGCCAAAGGAAGGGCCTCGGGGCCTCCAGCCGGCCACTCACACCAAGCTTCCCTGTCCGCGACTCGGGACGCAGTGCTCGGTGAGCTGGTGGTCAGGCCACAGCGGAGGGGTGAGAAGCGGTGCCCCCTGCGTCAGGTCTCGCGGCCAGTGGCCTCTGCCCAGCGCGGGTGGCAGCCCGGGGGTGGAAGGCTCCCCTCCGCCAAGGCCGGGCCCAGCCTGGGGTGACCCGGGACCCGGCGTCCCAGAGCGGCCTTCGGCCTCTCGGCAGTGGGGCCCCAGAGCAGGAACGAGGCTGTCGGGGCCGCTCCGCCGCGGGGCCCGGCCGGCAGCCTCTCGTCCTCCGTGTGCTGGTGTGTGAGGAGGGAGACGGAGGGTGCCCGGGCCACGGCGGGCGGCGGCCTATGTACAATTCACCACAGGAAACGAACGTGGTGGCTGCGACTTGTCCTGGGCGCCCCGCGGGGCCAGTCCACGTCCACGGAGGCGCGGCCCTACAAAGGCCCCTTGAACTGGTTCCCAGACAGGTGCTGCCGGATGGAGGGCGTGGAGCTGGCCGCGTCCCCCAGTTTCCGCCAGACCACCTGTGGGCGGGGGCGAGCTGTGAGTGCAGGGCCCACCCGAGCCCGCCCGCCGGCCCCGGGCACCCACACTGCCTCGGGCCCCTCAAAATCACCCACGTCCCCAGAGCCATGGGGCCGGGAGGGGAAACTGAGGCCACGTGGGGTCGAGGCAGGAGGCAGCCTAGGAGGCGGGGGTGCTCAGGACACCGGGCCCCCGGTGAGGCCCAGTGCAGCCCCCTGCTGGCTCCCACAAGGGTCCAGAGAGGACACACCCCGGCCAGGCGGGTCGGGGGTGGGGCCCCCCCGGGCCTGGGCGGCCACAGAAATAGCCCGGCTTCCAGAAGCAAATGCAGCCCCAGCCTTGTAGGGGCTCACCTGCACCTCCGGTCTGACCGCCACCTGTGTGACCAGCAGCCACCCGGGGCCAAGGGGTGGGATATGTGGGCTGAACGGGACCCGTCCCAGGGGGCTGGGGGCGGTGCTCTGGGGACGGACAGGCCTGCAGAGGTCAGGGGCCCCCTCTCGGGGACAAGTGGGACAGGCTGTGGGGTGAGGACAGGCCGGGCCTCCAGGTCCGCGGCGCTGCCCACACGGGGACCCGCCCTGCCCGCACCGACGGGCCCCGGCCCCGGGACGAGCCTCACGTTGCACATCTCGCGGACGATGGCCTTCTCCTTCTCACTCAGGTCCTCCTCACAGCTGTCCTGGAGCTGCCGGTCCAAGTTCTCGTGCACCTCCAAGACCTGCGCGGAAGCGGCCACAGGGTCAGCGGGGAGGCTGCACACGGGAGCCAAGGACCCTGAGCCTCTGGGTCCCAGCCAGGGTCGGGGGGCATGGAGACACCCGACAGGCCGGTCCTCTTCCCTCACCCCAGCGACCCTCCGCAAGGGAAGCCACACCCCCACATCACCGCTGGGGGCAAAGCTGAGGACAGGTCACCTGGGAGCAGGGACAACAGGTTGGCGGGGGGGCTACCCTGGGACAGGTGCACTCACTGCAACCCAGGGCCCCTGGCTTGGATGAAGTGACACTAGGACAGCACCCACATGCACACGTGGGGTCACTGCCCGCACCGGCTTGCGTCTACGCACACGAGGGGTGAGGGGCGCAGCCATGGCAGGCGTGGGCCGGGGAGCCAGCCCCCCCCAACCCCGGAGCTGCACCTGCAGGCGAGGCTGGGCCTGGGAGGCCGGAGCCCGAGTCCTACCCCAGCCCTGCCCCCACCTCTCCGACTCGGAGGGAGTGCCCACCGGCCCCCTTCCTGGCCCAGGTATCAGCTTCCTGTTACTGGGACGGCAGACAGGTGACAACGTGTGGCCCACTCGGTCCTGCTAACCCACACCTCCACCTCCCTCCCCGAGGTGTTCCAGGCGTCCGGGCCGCTCCCCTCGCGCCCTGCTGCTCAGACACCCACGGACTCCGAGCAAATGTGGGGTCCTTCCGCGTCCCGCACTGCACCAGGGACCTGGGGGCCCCCCGGGGGAGCGGGCTGCGGCCCTCACCTTCATGGCGTGCACAACAGCCTCTGGCTTCTGTCCCGCAGAGCTGTAGCCGGCGGAGGGGGGCGAGGACAGCTCCGGTACCAGGCAAGCTGGGCCCTGGGGGAAGGAATCGCGTTTAGCTGGTCCCAAATGGCTCCCGGGTGGTGGCCAGAGGTGCGACCAGCAGCAGGAAGAGGTCCCTGGGCCCACGCAGGCGGACAGGGGTGCTGAGTGACACGGAGAGGAGGCAGGGTGTGAGGCCGGGGCCAGGGCAGAGGACAGGGTGGCCGCCCTCAGAACCGCACCCCCCCCCCCCGCAGGCTCCTCTCCACAGCCCAGGGCCAGGGTCTGTGATCTGTTGCCCAGAGGAAGTGAGTGCAGTTCACAGAAGGGCAGGAGCTGCCAAAGATCCCCCAGCAAGCCTCAGGGGGCCTGCCTCCAAAACTGCCACCCTTCCCCCGACGCCAGGTGAGTGGGTTAAACTAGACTTCACCCTCACCCCCACCCCCACCCGCAGGGACACTCCTCTAGCCTGGAGCCCCGCCTCCCTGCCCTGAGCTTCCAGCCGGTCTGGCACCTGATGGATGCCACCAAATTCAGCACCTTCCAAAACTAAATAGAACTAAAATAAAATACAGATTATATTTATTTATTTGAGAGAGAGAGCAGAGAGCACAAGTGGGGAACGGGGGGAGGAGAGTGACAAAAGGAAAAGGAGAAGCTCCCGGCTGAGCAGGGAGCCCGATGCGGGGCTCGATCCCAGGACCCCGAGATCATGACCTGAGCCGAAGGCAGACGCTTAACTGACTGAGCCACCCAGATGCCACTCAGCGAACACTTTAAATGGCAACCAGGCATCCAACTCCCCACAGCCCGTGGAGCAGGGGACAAGGCCAGGTGAGGAGGGCATCAGGACTTCTGGTGTTGGGCCCACCTATGTCAGAGGTGGCGTGTCTGGCCAGGGTCCCCAGCGCTTTTCCACAAGGATTCCTGGCCCAGGTGGTGTGCCTCGGGCTGCAGGGGGACCCCAGCTTAGGGTCCCATAAAAGGAGTGCCCAGCCAAGGACTGGAGGATGGCGCTCCCCAGGGCCAACAGAAGCCAGGAGGTCAGAGGACACTGGGAGTGGGTCTAACGGGAGCCAGCAAGTGCGGGAGGCCAGACAGAAAACGCCAAGCACCCCGGCCAGCATGTGTGCAAGCAGGAAGGGAGGCGGCCCGGGAGCCGGGGTTCCCAGCACATCCGTCCCTTCTCTGAGTCTTGGTTTCTTTCTCAGTCACTGAACCCCAGTGACCAGGCAGACTTGGTGAGCTGGTTTATGCGGCCATCACCCTGAGGGCCTGCCCAGCCAGGCCACGCTGTGTGGAGACCCTCAGGGCCCAGAACTTTCTGCCGTGGGCTAGCTCCTCTGCACCCTCCCCATCCGCCCACCCTTCTGGACCTTCTCCGGGCTCCACATAGAGGATGGGCCCCAGAGCCTTGGGGGCCGGGAAAGCTGGACTTGGGCAAGGCTCTGCGGGCTGTGACCTGAAGAAGGGCCCAACCCACTCTGTGCCTCGGTTTCCTCGTCTGGACGATGGAAAGGGTTCTTGTGTCCCAGAGGGGTTCGGGGGAGGCAGGTGGAAGGCAGAGAAAACACACACACACACCCATCCGCCTGAGGCCGAAGGCTGCGCTCCCTCCACCATCAGCCAGCAGGGGGCGACAGCCACACGTGTGCGGCGTGGGAGGCCCCAGATGCCTGGCCCCTGGCACGTCCAGCCTCCTGTCCCATCTGTAAGGGGCCAGGGGGCTGCACCCTGGAGCAAAGGCAGGAAGGAAGCCAGGAGTGGCCGGGACAGCCTTTTCCGGACCCCCTCACCAGGCTGCCAACGAAGCCCCCGCGAGCCAGAGGGCTGGTACTTGTGGGGCACTCCCCACGCACAGCTCCCCCCGAAGACCCCTCGGGCGACACCTCCCACTTCCTCGGCACCCCCCCCACCCTCACCCCCAGGGCAAGCAGCCCGCTGAGTGCCTGCAACCCTGATGCCATCTTTCTGCACCCCCATGTGACAGGCGAGGTCAGGGACAGTGGGTCTGACACAAGGCCACGGCCAAACCGCTGGTGAACAATGGGGCTCAAGCCGGGTCTGGGGTTCCAGAGCTGGTGCCCAAAGTGGGGAGACCAGTGTGTCCCCAAGAGAACTGAAGCCACACGTCCACACGTCCACTTGTCCAATGTGCACAGCAGCGCTCCCCACGACGGGCGAAGGGCAGACACAGCCCAGATGTCCAGCCTCTGCTGAGCAGAGCTTCCGCCCCCGGAACATCGCCCGACGGCACAAAGGCACGAGGCTCAGGCCACGGCAGCGCCGACGAGCCTCAGAAACACGGCGCCCCGCGGAAGCGGCCGGTCACAGCGGGTCGCCTTTACAGGGGTCTGTTGCTAAGAAAAGTCCGGAATAGGCAAATCTGCAGAGGCACGAGCGCATCCGTGGTCGCCGGGCCGAGGCAGGGGAGAGTGGGCAGGGGCTGCTAAAGGGGGCGGAGCTCCTCTGTGGGGTAAGGAGATGTTCTATCTTGATAACTACACGGATCTGTAAATAGGCTAAAAACCAGTGAAGTATGTGCTCAAAAATAAAGTCAACTGACCAAAAAAAAAAAAAGGGCAGGAAGACCAGTCTCCCCCAGGGACTGTCAACAGGTCCTCCACAACCAGCTCCTTCCACGGGGTCCTGAGTCCCAGGGCCGGCCAGGGCCCCCTGCACCCTGCCCCACGGCCCCCGGGCCGGTGACCCTCATAGGGGAGAAGCTGGGGGGCCCTGGGCAGACACTCAGCCTCTGACTCAAGTGGGCAGGGAGTGGGGAAAGTGGACAAGGACAGAGGTAGGGAGGGAAGCTCTGGGCCTCCACCTCAGCCCCAGGCCCTCCACGCTGCCTCAGCAGCCTCCGTGGCTGTATCTCCCAGAGGACCCCCAACCCTCTCTGTGCACCCCAGGAACCTGCCCCCCAGCTTCGGAGTCACTTCACCCTGACCCTGGCCTCTAGGCCCGGGGGGGCTCAGCGCCGGCACACACATGCACTACCCTTCACAGCCCGACCCCACAGCCACTGGCCATCGGGGTTCCCACAGAATGAACCGCGCGGCCGGCCGGACTGGCGGACGGGGGAGCCAAGCCCCACCGCGGCACCCCGGGCTTCTCGGGGCCCTTCGGCATGCGGCACGGGGAGCCTAACTCGGCCACAGGCTCCCGGAGGAATATCTGGGTGATCCGCCTGCTCAGCCTCAGCAGCTGCATCCCTGGAGGTGTGAGGGCCTCAAAAGGGAAGCAACAGAGCACTTGGCCGGCAGCCAGCCGTGGCCCCAGCCTCTGCCGCCAGCCCCAAGGCCCCCGAGGCTTTGCAGGGGCACCCCGGGGTCGTCCTTGCTGACCGGGGGGGGGGGTCACCTGGCAGAGTGACCTCAGGCCGGCCCGGCGGCTCCTCCCTCGTGCCCTGGGGATGGCCAGGGTCCCTGTCTTGCTCGGGGGGCTTGTCCCAGCTGGCTGCCCAGAGCGTTCAACCAAAGCTGACAGCTCTGGTCACCATCGTCCGCAGCTCATGCGGGAAAGTGTTTGGCGGGCAGTAGTTTTGCACGATCATCACAATGGAACATTTCATCACCCCAAAAAGAAACCCCATTCCCATTAGCCATCCCCACTCCCCCTCTTCCCAGCCCTCTACAGCCACTAACGTGCCGTCTCCACGGACCTGTGTGTTCTGGACATGTCACACGGGGAGCAGTCCTGGCGATCCATCCACATCCCAGAGAGCCGGCCCCGCACATCGCCACCCCTCCGTTTCCCATGTCGGGCAGCCCCAGAGCCCAGGACCACCCTGGAGGACCCCACACTTAAGCTGCCCCCCGAGCCTCGGTTACAAAGCCTGGGTAGTGTGAATGCACTGCCCCAAGCCCCCATCGGGCATCCTTCCCCGCCCACCATGGCCAAGTTCACATCGGGCATCCTTCCCCGCCCACCATGGCCAAGTTCACAGACGCGCGGCAGCTGGGCCGGGGCAGCCTCTCGCGTGGCCTCCAGACACTGGCCTTCATGGCCACGTCACTCTGGTGGGCCTCCACCTCTAATCAGCACGCTGGGCCTGCACAAGGCTCCTAAGGCCAGGAGCCCAGCCCCCTTCCTGGCAGCGGGGGTGGCAGGGGAAGAGGGAGGAAGGCCACTCCGGCAGAGCCCAGGCTCTGACCCTTCACCCTCGCCTGACCCGGAAGCTGCTCAGGCAGGAGACAAGGGTTCCAGTCTCCGCTCAGCCACAGACCGTCCCCTGGCCCGGGCAGGTCACGAGACGGGCCGAGCCTCACCCCTGCACTGGCATGTCGACCAAGGATTCTGGAGGCTCGGGGTCCACCGGTGAGCAGTGCAGCTCTAGGGGAGGGGCACTTACGTTCTGCAGGGAGTCCTGGTAGGAGGGCGGCAGGCTCGCCAGCTGGGACTCCGAGTGGTACGGGGAGAAGCCTTTCCGCAGAGTCCGGAACTCTCCAGAGCCTGCCTGCTGGGGGGCAAGGAGGGACAGGTTAGAGGTGAGCGGCTGCGCTGAGGGGGCCAAGGACTGTGCCGTCAGGACAGGGCAAGCTGCTCCTGCCTGCCCCCCCACCCTCGGCAGTGGGCTGCACCCTCCCTCCCCTCTCCCTGCTCCATGGGTCCTCAGGCCATCACGTGCTGGTACCACGAGGCCAGGGGGCTTCATTTTGCCCCCCAGTGCACGCTTTATCGACGTTTCTTGAACAGAATAAAGCAGTAAATGAGTATGTGGTACTCCCTCTTTCCTCTGCTCCAGCCTCCTGCACTTGGGGTCCCCGCGCCTGGCCTGCGGAACACTCTCTCCAGCCCCCGGGGTCCTCCCGCCTCCCACGGGTGAACCTGACCCTGTGCGCTGCTCAGGCTGCCCTCAGCCTCTGCCATCAGACGGGAGCTCCCAAATGTGGGCCCTGCGCCTCTCCCCTCTCTGTCGACAGGAACCAGTGCCTGCTTAGGAAGGAGGGAGGGGGAGGTACAGAAGGGACGGAGGGAAGGAAAGAAGGAAGGAAGGAAGGGAGGAAGGAAGGAAGGAAATGCCCCCAGAAGCTGGGGGCTGGGGGCTGGGATCCGCAGAGGGAGGGGACCCAGGGGTCACGCTTAATCCAACACAGGCCCTCTGAGAAGGAGCCGTGGCCTTTGGGGCCCTCTGCATCACTCAGAGCCCAGGAGGTGTTTCTGGCCCAGACATCCTTTTCTACTTCAAAGGAACTGAGGGCACACTGTTGGGCAGACAAAACACAGCAGAATGTCCCCTAAGTCCCCAAACAAAGCCTGGAGGACAGGGGCAGGGTGAGCAAGACAGCACAGCAACCACACCTGGGGGTCCCTCCCCCTGCGCACCAGCCCCCTCCCTGCTGGTCCGGAGGAACCCACACGCAGCCTGCTCCCCTCCTGCCAACTGCTGGACCCAGCCCCCACTCCTCACAAATCTCTAGCCTCACCGACTCCCTGCGTTCTGCTCTCCCATCCCCATCAGACCCGGGTCCAACCCCCTCGGTCTCAGGGCCTGGCTCAGGGGACACACAGCAGCACTCTGGAAGTGGCTGGGGGACTGGAGTAAAAACACAATGAAGGCAGGTGCCCGGTGCAGGCTGCCAGGGCAAACATCAGAAAGCAGATCCACGCAATCGCTCGCCTGCTTACCACCCCCATCCAGGCACCTGGCCAGAGCGGGGGACATTCCCATGGCCTCTGGGAGGAACTGAGTATAAACAGAGGTCACCAAGAGGCACAGAGGGGACAGAAATGAGGACCCCCCTCCCAGGCTGGCCCCTGAAGTGTGGCAGGGTATCCCCAGGAACCCTTAAAATGTGACTGCCACACCCCTGATTATGGCCAGCTGCTAACCAGAGCCACGTTAGTCCTCCCTGGCCCAGCGGACGCCCGATCTAGTGGAGCCCCCCTGTCACCAGGCACCAAAAACACAGAGGCCACAGTGCCGACCCTCACTCCCCACCTCGGGGGACCCCTCCGCCCATCAGGGCACCTGTGCCTCCCTGACTCGCCCGCCGTGGGCGGGGGCGTCAACCCAGCTTCACTCCAAGGCAATTATCTTCCTGGCCAGGCGTCTGTGACACTTAGAAACTTCTCCAACGGGCGCCTGGGTGGCTCAGTTGGTTAAGCGACTGCCTTCGGCTCAGGTCATGATCCTGGAGTCCCAGGATTGAGTCCCACATTGGGCTCCCTGCTCGGCAGGGAGTCTGCTTCTCCCTCTGACCCTCCCCCCTCTCATGCTTTCTCTATCTCATTCTCTCTCTCAAATAAATAAATAAAATCTTTAAAAAAAAAAAAAAAAAAAAGAAACTTCTCCAACAGAGAGTGTGTTCTAAACTCAATGATACTAAGCATCTGCAGTCAGTGCCATCAGGCCCTCACCGGGCCCTCCGACTCCATTCTGCGGGAGCACCCCCCACCGGCCTTGCCAGGCTGGCGAAAGGGACCAGGTGTAAGGCTCAGCCCAGCTCACACACACTGACATTTGGCCACGCGGCCAAGGATCTGAGCCACCGCCCCGCCCTCTCCGGCCAGCCCCTGGGACTGGAACAGCTGGACGCTGCCCTGTCCTTGCCCACACCGTCTAGATCCTCCTCTGGGCTGAGTCTCACCTCCTCCACAGCTCCTCTGGCCCGGGACCAAATGGGTTCAGAAGCAACTCATGTGTGTTGTTACTGAAAACACAGGTTTATGTTGCTTCCTCCCCCCCACCCCCGCCAGATAATTTCCTTGGGAGGACATGTGTGTGCAAGGGGGCGGGAGGCGGGTTTAAATGAGTGCGTGCAATTCCTACCCCTGCCTTCAGCGATCATCAATAAATATTTGCACGTCCACAGAACTTTATTAACGACCCACAAAGCTGGCAGGGAAAACGTACAATCTCTCATTAGGGGCCATGTGACTAATGATGCATCAACATGAGGGACCATAATTGCACTTCAATCCAAATTAAAAATTCTGGGATTCGCCTGTTGGTGCCCTGGAAAAATGAAATCCCTAGGTTTTATCACGGAGGAGAAGTGGAGCTGAAAGGGCCTTCTGGGGTGGCTGGGCCTGCATCTGCAGGGAGCGCAATCCCAAACATGGGTCCCTTAGGACACAGGGAGAAAGGATCTGCCACGCAGAGTGGGCGGGACTCCCACATCCTTAAAAGTAAAAGAAACATTGAGTGCAGACATAGACTTGCCCCTTCCCACTGGGAGGGCGAGACCCAGGAGCCGGCAGGGCCCCCAAGTCCACTTAAGGACTCTGTCCAGGGCTGGCACTGCATCGCCACCGGGCTCGAAGCCGGCGTGCACTCAGGCGACCCTAGTCTCTCCGGACCCCCGCGGTCCTGTGGTGAGCTCCCTTGCCATCGCCTGCCAGGGGACTCCTGGGGAGCACCATCAGAGGGGTGCTGGAGCAGAAAAGGGCCACGGCAGGAGAGCGAGGGAGGACCCTGCCCACCTCCCCCACCTGCCCACTTGGGGCTCCTTGTCTGGGCAGCAGCTGCGGGTGGGCTCACTCCGGGCAGTTAGTCTCGCCCCTCCCTCTTGCTCCCAAAGGGCTTGGGTCCCCGCGGGACTGTGTCACGCAGAAGCAGCTCCTGAGTGCACCCGACAGGGAGGCAGGGTCTGACAGATGACACGGGGACTGTTGTGGGGGCTCCAGGGTGAGCAGTAACGTAGGGGCGTCCAGAGGCCACTCGGACCACTGGACTCGGGCCGGGAGAGCTGGGTGAGAAGGGCCGCGGAGGCCACGGGCTCCTGGCTCCGCTGCTGTGTCATGTGGCGAAGCTGCCCGCGACTGCACGCTCGGAGAGGGCAGGGCCAGGGCACCCTGGTGGTGGTCAGCTCCCAGGAAGGGACGGGAGGGGACCCACAGGAGACAGAGCGGCACACAGCACTCGAAGCAGCCCCCACCCCAAACACCACTGCACACGCATCCCACCAGGCGGCTCTACCTGAAGCCAGCTTCTCGGGCGGCCGTAGGGACGGGCCAACTGGAAGGCAAGAGAAGTGGTGTCACCCAGCAAACGCCAGCCACGACCCCCACCCTACCCCCCTCCCCTGGACCCCTGGCACCTCGGCTGGGCCGGGGCGGGCACCTCCGGAGAGCCCCCACGTTTTTAGAAACCTCCACGTCTACAAGGACTGACCGGGCCCCCCGGCCCGCTCACAGCCCTCCCGGGGCTCACGCGGGGACCCCGCAGCCCCGGCAGGCCGGCTGCCCTGGCCCAGAGGCGCCCCAAGATCCCGGCACGCCAGCTGGCAGAGGAAGGGAAGGGGTGCTGCAGGGCCGCTCACAAGGGCACCCTGCCACTACCTACCAACTGGACTGGCTTTCTCTCGTTGCCACTTTAGTTTTCAGAAAACTCATTTGCAGACCATTAAGGAGAACGCGGCTGCTGCGTGGCTGGGGGCCCAGAGGGTTCTTCCTAATTAGCGCTCAGAGCAGGCCGCAGACGAACCACGTGTGGCTGGTGCATGGCTCATAGGACTTCTCCGCAGGGGACATGGCACCGCATCCCCACACCCCATGCAATTTCCGGCCCTAAATCCCAGTTTCCAAACGTGGGGGTGTGCGTACTGCCCAGGACCAGTGGCCTGCAGCTGACGGGACAGCACACGGCCCAGGTCTCATCCGCCACAGTGACCGTCGACCCTCACAGGTCCCCTCAGCAACCCACTACTGGTTCCAATAAGGTGAGCGAGAGACAGGCCACAGGACCCCGCAAGAGAAGGTGAGGGGGCTTAGTGGGGGCACAGACTCCCCAAATCCAAATCCCATCTGGGCTGGGTGAGTCTGAGCAACTCCTCAACTTTCCAGGGCTCTGTTGCTTGCACGTAAATTGGGGTCAAAAAGGGCGCCCAGCTGCTGGATGGCCCACGACTCTCACTGCTGGCCGGCCCTGGACCTTGGTGCTTTGCAGGATCGTCCCTTTAAACCTGGGGCGGGCACCACTGGTGTCCCATTTGACAGATGAGAAAACTGAGGCACACAGACGTTAAGCCCCGGGCCCAACGCCGCCCTGCTGGTAAGGCGGCACTCGGGCGATCTGAACCAGGCCCTGTGGCTCTGGAGTCCCGGGCTTGGCATTGACGGCCACCCAGCATGTGGCTCACAGTGGACAGTGATTAAGCCTCGGGCACAGAGGGGACAGAGGTGGAATTCCTAGTCTCTTTCTGCCCATGTTGCTAGCCAGACCAAGTGCTCAGATGCTGGAAAGAAGAGGCTTCCTCCCTGGCCGAGGGAGAGCCTGGACCGGCTCTAAGGTTCTGCTAACGGAGTAATTAAAGCCCTCCAGAGATGCAGAGACCACCCCACTCACAACAGAGGGAGCAGGATGTGACCACCAACCCTAGACACCAGCCAGGCAGAGCTGGGATGGCTCAGAGCCGGACAACCGGCGACATGTCACGGAAGACACCACCGCGGAAATACTGGAGGCCAGCTTCTCTGGAGGGTTTGGGCAAGGGAATCAGCCACTCGGGATGACACGTCCTCCTTGGGCACTCAGACAACAGGACTGAGGTCCAGCACGGGCTGAGATGGTGGCAGACTGCTCCCCTGTCCCCCAGCCTGTATGGCTCAAAACGCAGACAAGGGCCACGGAGGAACCATTCATTCAGGGACGGGCCAGGCCTGAACCCAGCTAGGTGGGCTCAAGCCTGCCAGGTCTCGAACATCCCAGGTCCCCGAGACCAGGGAAGGGAGAGGCGGGCAGGCACCGCGCTGGGCACCCCCCAGGTTATAGTCACCATGGCACACGCTGCACTGGGCATCACCGTCACCCCCGTCTTCCACATCAGGAAACCGAGGCACCAGGACAGAAGGCATGTTGCCTAAAGCCACAGTGCAGGTGAGTGCTGGAGCATGGGTCATTGGAACTCAGGTTCCTCCAGGGCCCAAACCCACTTCCTTATACAATTAGGCCCGCCACACCACTGCCGCAGGATGGACTGTGCCCCCCCAGGTTCATTTGTTGACCCCATGGCCCCCAGGACCGTGAGAAAGTACCTTCCGTCGCCGAAGCCACCCAGTGTATGCTTTGTTACAGCAACCCTTGGTGTCGATCTTGGGGTCACTTGCAACCTGAGCATTCGAGCAACCCTGCACGGCGTGGCACAGGGGTGAGGAGGAGGGGGGCGGGCCTGCACAGCCACCTCCACTTCCCTCCACGGCGGCCCATTTGCCCCATGGGAGATCCGCTCAAGCACTTCTTGCTCTTTTGAAAAGCCAGCTCCCAAGATGTCCATCGACAGATGAATGGATAAAGAAGATGTGGTATATATATATACAATGGAATACTATGCAGCCATCAAAAGGAATGAGATCTTGCCATTTGCAACGACGTGGATGGAACTGGAGGGTGTTATGCTGAGTGAAATAAGTCAATCAGAGAAAGACATGTATCATATGACCTCACTGATATGAGGAATTCTTAATCTCAGGAAACAAACTGAGGGTTGCTGGAGTGGGGGGTGGGGTGGGAGGGATGGGGTGGCTGGGTGATAGACACTGGGGAGGGTATGTGCTCTGGTAAGCACTGTGAATTGTGCAAGACTGTTGAATCTCAGATCTGTACCTCTGAAACAAATAATGCAATATATGTTAAGGAAAAAAAAAGAAGAAGAAAAGGTAGCGGGAGGGGAAGAATGAAGCGGGGGAAATCGGAGGGGTGGACGAACCATGAGAGACGATGGACTCTGAAAAACAAACTGAGGGTTCTAGAGGGGAGGGGGGTGGGAGGATGGGTTAGCCTGGTGGTGGGTATTGAGGAGGGCACATTCTGCATGGAGCACTGGGTGTTATGCACAAACAATGAATCATGGAACACTACATCTAAAACTAATGATGTAATGTATGGTGATTAACATAAGAATAAAAAAATAAATAAATAAAATGAAAAGCCAGCTCCTGGGCGAACACGGAGGCTTCATCTCTCAGCCCAGCAGGGGAGGGAACCGCGGGAACCGAAGGAGCCAGGCCCCAGCATCAATGCCAGCTGCCCCCAGCCCAGCGCAGCCCAGCCGGGCACAGAATCCCCAAGAAAAATACTAACGTGTGCGGGGGGGCCCAAAATGAATCATCACGGAGGAAGCAGCTGTGTTGACGAAATTTTAAAGCCAACGCAAGAAAAGAAAATACGAACTGCAATATAGTAATTTACTTCTGTGAACGCACTGGCACATTTTTAATTAAAGCCATTTTGGAGTTAAACAGAGGCCATGAGGGGAGTGGCGGGGGCAGCGGGAAGTGGGGGCCGCAGAGGCTTGCCGCCCTCCTGCCCAAACCCTGAAGCCACGTCCCCTGAAGGTGCTTCAAAGACAAATCCTACTCTCTCCCGCTTCTCGCCAAAAGGCAGGTGCTCTCCACTCTCTGCAGAGCTGGAGGTTTTTGTGCAATTTGATTTCGGTGGCAAGACTTAAGTGCCAGAATCATCAAGTCCGACAAGCCAGGCCCATGAGGTCCAGGCCAGAATCCCACCCCCGGCAGGAATCTCTCTCTTTCTCCAGGATTCCCAAACATGGTCATCCATCCCTTGATTACCTCCAAAGATGGCATGCTCACTATCTTAGTGAAGCAGAACTTCCTTATTCTGGGCAAGAGCCAGCCTCCCCTCCCAGCCTCGGACTCTGGGTAGGGGATGGCCAGGGGCTCCCCAAGATGTATCCACCTAGTCCAGCTGTGCTAAGCGCTGGAGAGGCAGATGTGACCACAGAGAGCCAGCAGCCCAACCCGAGTACCTGACAGTCCAGCAGACGTGGGGGCCGAGCTCCCCAAGGGAGGATCACAACAACTAGCAGCTCACAGGGCTGAGAGCTCAGACTAAGTGCCAAGCCCCCCTAGGGGTGGCTGGGAAGGCTATCGGTAGGAGGCCATGCCTTCCTCCTGAGGAAGAAGAAAAAGTAAACCCTTTCTTCCCTGGACTCCCCTAGAATGAGGCCAGGACCGTCATTGTGGGCCTGCCGCAGCCCCCTATGCACATGAGTCCTGCTAGCTGGGACAAGGAGATGCTCAGGCCTGGGCCTGGTCACCCCTGTACCCCTAAAGCCGTCAATTACACACGAAGTGTGTGAGTGCCCATTTTCCAGGTGAGCAAACAGAGTGGTGCCATCTGAGCTGCCCCAGGAATCCAGAAGCAAGTGAGGTGTGAGTTGCCACCAGGAAGCCGAGAGCAGGCCAGGGGGGCCCCTCTCTGTCTCTCTCTCTCACCTCTCCTGCTTGGCTCAGAACAGTGGCGCCCCCCTCTGCACCCAGCACCACTGGCCCACCCTCAAGGCCAAGCTCTGGTGGCAGCAGGTGGCAGGAGCCCCACCCATGACCCCGGAGACATCCCGCCAACGCCAACAGCTCCCGGGTGCTCTTGCGGACTGTAGGTTGAGGGCCAACTCTCTTGTTGCAGCCAGGCGCACAATGCACTGCGGGGGCCAAGGCCCCAGCACCACGGGGCTGCCCCCTTCTTGGGATGCTGGGTGTGGACCTAACACCCGCCCACTGGGAGACCCCGGGCAGAGTCCCGCTGAGGAAGAGACCAGGGAAGGGTCCTGGGTGCCCCAACCCCAGGACCCACACGAGCCCACATGGCTACCATCACACCAGCTTGGCTTCGCGAGGCTTCGTTCATTCAGCGAGAAAGGAAAGTTCTACCAGAGAAATAAGACACTTGCAGCCCTTTGTGCTGGATGCTTAGCTCCCAGTACTTGCCCGCTACTGGCCATAAGCCAGAAAAAAGCTCGTTCTTGTCCCCAAATCCCAGTCTAACCGCCCGCAGCCAGCAAGCCTGGATCCCGGCAACGCTCTGCATCCCTCCATCTAATGGACATCTTTGCCAAGCAGGCCCGGCCCAGGCAGGGAGGACAGAACCCTACTGTTGCTGCCTCTGGGCCACGGCCCCAGGTCTGACCCCGGGGAGCAGGTCTGAGCAGGCTTGGGGGCGGGGCGCGGGCAGACAGCTGCCATGCCCTGACGCCCAGACACAGGGCCCCTGACAACCTCCCCCTCTCTACATGTGGGCATGGGGCCAGTGGGCACAGCTGGGGGGGGCCTCCCTTGTGACACCAGGGGTGCCCCCAGGGAGGAAGGAATAGAAGGGCCACCCCTCCATGGTGTGCACATTTCCCCCAAGTCCACGGCCAGGTCCACCACTGGGAACTGGGGTGTATTTTCCCAATGGGACAATGTGGCCTGGGACAGCAGGGGCCACGGGGCTGGGGACACGCCTGTCTTTGTGGAAAAGGGGCCATAAGCAATGCCCAGTTGGACCACAGAACAACATGGCACACAGCATCCTGAATTCGGGGCTTTGGGCGCTCAACCTGCTTCTCCAAGGGAACCATGAAACAAAGAACAGTCGGATGGGGACAGACTCACGAGGCCACTGACCCACGGCTTCGGGTCCAGATCGTGGTCCTGGCCTTCATTCTGCTGTCCAGTGGCCGCAGCAAGCAGGACAGGTACATGCTCCAAAGCAAAGGGCCCCGAGCCTTAATGCTGGCCCCCACCACCCCCACTCCTCCTGGCATCACCTCGGCCTCAACTCCTGCAGCCCAGCCCACGCCAGGCCCACATGGAATGCAAGGTGCCCCAGCCCCCAGCCAGATGAGACCCAGCCCCTCCCGGCACTCCCCCCCCAGCCCCGAGGAGCCAAAGGAGCCAGCAGGCCTTGTGGCCAAGCCCTTCTGCCACACAGGACCTGAAACCATATAAAGTCACCGAACCAGCCTTGCAATTCGATGCCTGGCTCCACACCTGAACATGGGTGCAGTGGCCTTGGGGGTGTGGAGGAGTCGGGGGTGAACCGTGTACTCGGCCCAGTCCTGCTAGGCTGTGGGAACTGCCCACGCAGCCCACGTAGGGGTGAGGCGCAGGACGGCAGAGGTGGGGGCTGTACTCCGTGCCTGGGCCCTGAGCCTCCCAGCAGCCGCCCAGGGGCAGAGAGGGTGCCGTGGGCTTCCGAGCCAGGAGAGTGGCCAAGCCTGCTGGTCGCCTAGCAACGGGGCCAGGCAGCTGAGCCCTCCCTGGGGTTGGTTCCCAGAGAAACGCTCTGGGCATTCTGGCCGCCACTTGGCTGGGAGGGTAGGGGGGCCATGGCGGGGGGGCGGGGGGGGCATGGCAAGGGAGGGGGAGGGGAGATCAAGCCCAGGATGGGTATGAGGGAGAGAGAGGCTGGAGGGGTTGGCCAAGCCGGCAGGCCCCCAGGACCCCGTGCGGGGCTGACCACAGCCTCCCATCCCCGCCCCACCCGCAGCAGAGAAGGCCCTCGTCCTGACAGTCATGACCCCCCCCCCCCCCCGCTCCAGCCACACTCAGCAGGAACAGAGCCGCCTGTCCCCCCTGCTCTGGCTGTTACCCTGCCCGGCCTCCCCCCTGCACTGCCCTCATCTTCCAGCCTCTAACCCGCCAACCCACTGGGGACGTGCTGGGGATGAGGCAGAGCCTCATCTGTCTGTGGGCACCAGCCAGGCCCAGGAGGGCGGAGAGTGCACCCCAGACGGGAGAGGATCAGCATGCAGGAGGGGGGAGGTCTCCGTGTGGGTGAGGGCATGCCAGCCCCTCCCCGGCCTCGATCTGCCTGCCTGAGGGCCAAAGCAGCCCCTTCTTCAGCAACTGTGCATTCCACACCATCTCTGGGACAGGCCCAGGACTGGCCCGAGGGGCTCACAGACCACCGGGGGACACCCCAAAGGCCATGGAGTGAGGATAAGGTCCATGACCCCAAAGTTCCAGGGGCTGCCTCGGATGGCAGTGGGGCAGGTGGGCAGCCATGGGTGTGAGGGGGGAAGGGAGCCCCAGGTAAGCTGGGACACAGGTGGGGGGGGCTCAGGGGGTCAGGGGCAGGGCTCACGCTGGCCCCCAGAGTGCAGTAGGCACTGCCCCCCGCGGTCTCCCCCCAGCCAGCCTACCTGCGCGAGGAGGGCCTTGTCACCCTCCAGCAGCCTCACCTTGGTCTCCAGCTGCCTGATGTAGGTGGACGAGGGATCTGTAACGACACAAGTGGGGAGCACGTTAATCGCGGCAGACTCGGTTTCCAGTGAGAGACCCACACCCTGACTGAAGCCTCTGGGCCGGGGTTTCCAGAACCTGCAGAAAGGCGAGGGGTTCCCTTACCACCTGTCCTGTGCCTATTCCCTCAGCCTCTGTCATACTTCCCATCCAAAAAGTGCTCCCAAACATCCCCCTGACAGGACCCTCAGAGCCAGGGGGCAGCACACAGCAGGGAATGGGGTCCAGGGAGCCCCCTCCCCAACACAATGGGGAAACTGAGTCTCCTGAGCATACCGAGTCTGCATCCAGGGTTCCTCTGCTCCCCCCTGCCTAACACACAGGAACTTCTAAACAATTCACAGCTGGGGCGGGAGCAGGGGGTACATAATGCAAGTGAGACACCATCATTCTGGAAGGACTCTACTGACGAGAGCAGCCGGGAGCCGGGTCCTGGGCCAAGCCAGTGACACACTCCCCAACCATGCACCCCCAGTTTCGGAATGCAGCAGGGTTTCTGAAATCCACCCTCCCTCACCACACTGACCTGTTTTACAATCACATCAGAAAGGCAGGCAAAATTCCACCACCCGGACTCCCAGAGCCCTGGTCCTGCCTCCCCAGCAGACTAGAGATCGGCTGGGCCGGCAGAGGAGAAAAGCAAGGACTAAGTCCCTGCAGGCCAGGCTGGGATGAGGGAGACTACCAAGGTGGGAGCCCAGGGCAACAGAGCAGAGGGGCCAGGAGACGGATGTGGACCACAGAGCAGGGAAGGCAAGGGGACCAAACCATCTTGGCAGGTGCGGTCGTGCAGGTGGGCAGTCAGGTCCCACCTGGATGCACGGGGCACCTCCCTGCCTGGTCTGCAGCCTCTCATCCACATGAGCACCTCGCCAGAGTTCACATGGCCCAGACACCGGCCTACACACCATCCACTGGGCCAGCCACCGCTCCCCTACTGCACCCACCTGCCCCCGACAGGACGGAGTCTCCACGGTTCCACCACCAGCCCTTTGGCTCAGAAATCACCACACCTTTGACCAAAGCCACCTCTCTACACTGCAGCCTTGGGAGACGGACCCCACGGGACTTTTAACACACCGGGGTGGGCTAAAAGGGATTGGGTGCTGTCAGAGAACAAGCTGGACTATCATGCATCGGTGGGAAAATGAAGATCTGCCCACCCCAGCACACAGCCCGGCCCCCTGGGGACACGGATGTGGTGCCCCTCCCCCGCTGGTGCTCAGCGGGCGGCCCCCTCCCCAGAATGGCCTGCCCTCCCTCCCCTGGAGCTCGGCCTGGGCCTGCCATGGGCAAGGCCATTCTCTGAGGCGACCCCAGCTTTCACACACAGGTGCCCCTCTGCCCACTGAGCTGCCCGCTGTGGGGCACTTTGTTCTCCAAGCACAGGGGAAGGACCCTCAGGAGCTCCGCCCACCCAGCCCTGGACCAGGCCCAGGAGCATCAGCCCAGCCCGGGGCGGGAATGGGGGGGCGGCCGGGCCCACCCACTAGCTGCAGGGGAATTACACAACCAGCTCCTCGGGCCAGAGTCAGCACCAGTCAGCTCTCAGGAATGCCAGCCTTCTAGAGAGGGAGAAGGGCCACTCCTCACCAGGCCTGCCGCCCTCAGCCTCGGGGATGGCACTGGTGACTACCAGGCAGCTGGGGGGGGCCTGCTGCTCCCCACGCCACCTCACCGAGCCCCCAGCTCTGCAGAGCTCCCTTTGACAGCGAGGAAATCAAGGTTCTGAGACGTCAAGGGGCTTGTTCGCAGCACAACTCAGGGCAGCAGCGAGGGGGGGCTGGACCCCAGGAGGGTGACCCCAAGGGCCTCCCCACTTGGACCCCGCATGCGTGCCCGGCGCTGGGCAGATCCCACCTGCCCGGGCAGGGGACCCGGGCCAGCCCCGTGGCCGCAGCTGTACAAAGGCATTCCTCGCACCCTTCTTCAGCCGGTGGTCACTAGAGTCCATGCCCTGTGCCTGCCCCCTGCCCTCCTGCCTCAGTTCATTCTCAACCAGCCGGGACTGACGGACACTCCCTACATGCCTTCCCACATCACTCCCACGCTAACAGGCCTGATGGCTCAGGGTGTGCCAGGCCCCTCTGGGCATTGGGACGGAGTTGGGGTGCAGCTGGGGTTCCCCACCTCTCTGGGTCCTCATGCTGTCAGCAGGAAGGGTTCCCCGGAACACTGGGAAACAGTGGGCAAAAACTACAAAGATCCTCCCAGCTCTCTCATCCTCACACGTTAAGACAAGGAGACCCAAATAACTAGCGGACCCCTGTGTGGTCTGCCCCTGGGTGGGGTCGGTGGGGGAGGGAAGACCCACCACCCACCTGGTGAGGGTCCAGCAGGCATCCTCCCCACTTTCCAGATGAGGAGGCCAAGAGGACCAGGGTCCCCCACCTGCTGGCAGGTGAGCTGGGAGCCCCAGGCCCAGCCTGCCAGACCCTCTCCCCACCATCCCGCTCCCCCTGCAGGTCGGTGCTAAGGACCCCAAGTGCCTGGTTGCTCTGAGCAGAGCTGACAGCGCCATGAGGTTGAAAGAAGTTGGCACGGGTCCCAGAAAGAAGCCATAGTTCCTGTGCAAGCCTCTCTCTCCGGGACGCTCCGCAACTGCCCAGTCCTCGGGCGCCACGACAAGCCACCCCCCCCACCGCACACCGCAGCCCCCACCATGGGCCGCGCTGCCAGGCACAGCCCCGAACTCAGGAGAGGACCTGTCACCCGTGCACAGCCAGGCCGTCAGCTCACTCACTGTCATAGGAAGGGGGGCCCCTGCCCCCACCCCCAGCTTCCCGGTATGGGGACAGTTCTAGCTCCCTCTGCCAATTTCTCTGGGGTCAACCGGGAGCTCCCGGCATTTCCTTTCTTGGTCAGAGTGCAGTCAGAGTCGTGGAGCGGAATGGAGTCAGCAGATGTGCCCACCAGCCTCAGCGCCCTTGGCCCCAGCAGGGTCCGCCACACTCCCCAGGATGGCAGAGAGGACAGCAGAGTGGGTCCAGGGCCAGTGCCAGGAGAAGGGGCAGAGGCAATGCTATGGGGGACAAATGACCCAGCAACAGCCCACCTGCCCACCCACTGCCGTCAGGACCAGTCCTCAGGGCCCATGGGCTGGCTGTCCTCCCTCAGAGGCCACACGTGGACACCGGCCAAGGTGCTGTCCTTGCTCAACCCACCGGTGTCCGTTTGCCCCTAACTCCAAGCAGCTATAGAGAACAAAGTCCACTTCACACCACCAGGCTTCGGTGGACTTTTCTTTCTAATTTCCAAACAAGAGAGGAGGCCTTGAAATATTTTAAATCACCCGGTACTTCCAAAGAAATCTACCCTAAAGAATGAATTCTAATTATAAAGATGGTGTAGCAGGGCGCCTGGGTGGCTCAGATGGTTAAGCGTCTGCCTTCGGCTCAGGTCATGATCCCAGGGTCCTGGGATCGAGTCCCGCATCAGGCTCTCTGCTACTTGGGAGCCTGCTTCTCCCTCTGTCTCTCTCTCTCTCTCTCTCATGAATAAATAAATAAAAATCTTTAAAATAAAAAAAAAAAGATGGTGTAGCAACGGCAGCCAGAAATGGAAATAACTATTTGTCCAAGAGAAGCAGAGGAGTATACCCTGTCACTCAAAGGATATTTAGGAAGGGTTTCTCTTCTCGACAATAAGGAAAAACCTTCACGCGCCGGTGGAAAGCACTGGACACAAAACGAGAAGTAGAACTGCTCTCAACATTTAAAAATATCTGTGTGTTGAAGTGAATTCCAGAAGGAGGCACGTGGAAATGTTGATGGTGGCGCTGCTCACATGAGGGAACAAGGGAGTTCTTGATTCATTCACACCCCTTCTTGCTAATTTTCAAATAATCTACTTCCAAAATAGGGAAAAAAATCTTTCGCTTATTTAAAAAAAAAAAAAAGAAAGGATTAAATTATTGCACTGGCACAGCGCCAAGCCACCCACTGACACCACGGAAGCAGAAGGGTGCCCATCAGAGTTCTCCCAGCTCCGGTGCCGGGGCCTTTCCCGAGGCCCAGGGCCAGCCTGAGTCTGCCCATTCCAGTGGATCTGAAAAGGATCTGAGGCTGTCCCCCAATGTCCTAGAGAAGCCTCCTCTTCTTCTGCCACATTCAACTCCCCAGACCAGGCTCTGCGCCTGCCAGGAGCCCGGGAGCCAGACATCATGTCGCCCGTGGGTCAGAGCAGGCGTCCTGCAGCAGGGCAGAATGGCTGCAAGATGGGCCTTCTCGGGCAGGGCTGGGAGGCCCCGGAGGTCTTGGCTCCCTGGGAGGATGATCCTTCCCAGCAGCCTTGAGCAACTCGTGATCACACTGGGCGCCTCTGAGCCCCAGCCTCTCGGAGATGAGCGTGTAATTAAATTAATCCCAGGGTTTGCAGTGGTGAGGAATGGGGCCCCAAGGGAGGGATGCATCATTTTTCGGCTTGGCTGCTTGCGGGGAAAATGAAGGAGGTAGAAGGGACCCCAGGATGGGCCGGCCAGTGTGTCCCCTCAGACCTTCCCCAGGCCCCCCCGGACTAATTCTGGAGGATTCACAATCCAGTTTCCATCTGCGGGGGGGGGGGGGGGGGGGGGGGTGGCGGCAAGGGGTCGGGGCCTGCAATATTCTTGCTTTCAAGAGCCAGAATGTCAGCCTAGCTTCGGCCTCCTTGAGGATCCTGTGTTCCCCGGGGAGGGTGGAGGGCTCTGCAGCCCGAGGATGGGAGGGACTCACAGAGCCCGCAGGTCTGCAAGCTCCCCTCACAGGTGCAGACCACCAGTCTACCCTCCCTTCTCAGAGGCTGAGTCTGGGGTCGGGTCACATCTCCCCCAGCCTGACAGCCTCCCCAGGTAGGCAGTGTGGCCTCAGCCTCACTGTTAGTCCAAACGGTAAGAACGTGGGAGCCAGAGGAGGTCACATCCAATCAGCCCTGGAAACCCTCCTCACCAACTCTGCACTAGGCAAAAGGAAAAGCCTTTTCGCTCAGGAAGAGCCTGAA